TCAGGCCCTCAGCCATCATCAGTCCTTGACAGATCTTCTTCGTTTGCAGCAGTTGCTAGCTGACACCGCCTTTCTGCGGTAAGGCTCTGGTCAGCGGGCACCGTTGTGGCGCGTCATCTCCCGTGAGTGGCTGGCGCTCATTTCGAAACAATGCGCTTTCGGCACTCGGCAAGCTGCCGGTACGAAGGGTACGAAAAGAACCTTGATACGACCCTGTCATCCTGGTTTGAGTGTGTGATCGTTACTTTCTCCATGTTTGAGATGTCGAGACAAGCGTTTGGCGCAAAGTAACTATCGCTGCCCTGTTGTTATGCAATAAACAATGTCGTCATCTTCGTTGGGCCCTGATCGCAACTATTGCCGTACATAGCGCGTCGCGTCCTCGACGTTAGGCAGCCTGCGTACGGGCATTTCATTCGACCGAATTTCAAGACATTACCTGAAAAGCGTGGTTTTCTTCACCACAGCGTATGCGCCATGCGCAGCGAGGAGTAGCTTCGCAAATAGTTCTGTTCCGAGGCTCCGGACTCCGCCATGACGATCAACGGGCGACGCATAACGTCGCGGCGGTGCTATGGCCGCGCGCTACATAACGAATCGCGACGGTGCATAGTACTAGGCTGCTAGCTGGATGCGGGTATGGAGATGAAAGTATTGTTGACGCGGCCTGCAGAAGATGTTGCAGAGCGTAGTCCTATACGCGGTACGAAAAGAGACGTTCTCGGCAATTGCGTCCCGCGGCCTCCACCCGAAGGCGCTCCAACGGCAACTGCAACTGCGTACTGCCATCACATGTTGAGAGTACGCCACCTCCACCTTACAAATCCTTCGATCGTTCGTCCGGATCTAAGCCTCCACCTCCACGTCTCCTTCTAGATCATGGATCATGTGGCGATGGTCCACCTTCAACTATCCAACATCCCAGAGGAAGGAACTGCTAACGGGTGGCTGAGGGCCCGTTGCCGAGCATCAATCTGGACTTACTCGCCAAAGACCAGTATGAGGTGAGCCGTGATTCATGCACATCGAGCACAACGACAATGAAGAAGAGCATGCGCCTTGACTCATACTGGACCCTGGTCATGGTCAGGCTAGTCATTGAAGTCTTACTGTACATCTCATGGAGATCTGCGGCATACAACCTCACAAACAACGACGATGATGGTCGCCATCTCCCTGTCAGCAGCATACATTATATCAACTCCTCTCCCTGTATCTTGTGCTTTCCATGCATACTCTCCAAGTACTCATTTCGTCCAGTCAAAAGATCTAGCCACCGTACTTGTACGAGCCCAATCCCCTTCCTCGATCGTCGCATCTAGCACTGATCTCCACGGCAACGCTGTGTATACCTAGTTATCCCTTTCAACAACCAGGCTCCTCGTGAACACATCGCACCAGTCCACTTCGAGCCCCAGAACCGGAAAATTGCCCCTGAAGTCGAAGTCACCCCATGTCACGATCCCATCCTGTCCCACAAGCCTTCGTGCCAGCGCTTCCACCTGCTCGAACCTGGCAGTATCGAAGACCGGGTTCTCGCAGATCCAGTTGGTAGGTATAGTGATCTTGATCTTTCGTAGATTACCGTCCCACTGCTTGGTGTGCCATTCGGCGATCCAGGCGTCCAAGTGTGCTTCCCAGTCCTTTGAATCTCGGAAACGAGATACTTGCCACTCCAGCTCCATGGACGCGTCTTTCACATGTGCGCGGTTGAGAATGGCCATGAACTCATCTTCTATCCCCATATGTTGGTCATATATCCTTATGACGATGATGTTGCGGAGGACTTCGCTATTGAAGACGAGGGGGGTAGAATAAGGACAGCCGGGAAGGCCGCGAAGGATGTCGCATTCCTTCTGCAATTCGCAAAGACGGTGAACATCGATTGCGTTGAATGTGCGCGAGGCACCAAAATAAGAGAGGGCTTCCGAACAGATCTGCTTATTGGTGAGGACCCACTTCGCGAGGCCCCGAGTGAACGCGGGAATGCTGTCGTGATAGCGGATGTCGAAGTCGTCGTCGCCGTCGCCATCGTCTTCCTCCAACGATCGAATCTTGCGTGTGGCCTGGATCAGTAGGCCCTTCACTTTGAATATGGTTGGGAGTGGACCAAATGCGTACTCGTAGATGGAGTCGCGGAGTTCTCTGGGCAGGCGGGTGAATGGGAAAGTACCGGGCGGGTTCCAGCCTTGCGCAATCTCAGCTGCTCGACGGGCTTTCCTGGAGATAGTTTTGGCCTTCATATCCATGTACCGGCCTGTGGATATGAAGAGCACTTCTTGCACCTGGCGGGGTCGTGGCGGTTGACGGCTCATTGTGATAAAGCTCTAGCTTGCCCAGATGAGCACGGGGAGGTGATGAGGGACGACTGGGAAGAACAGTTCCTGGATACACACTCAATCGACACTAGCGTAATCCATCGCAGCAGGCGCGATTTGCCATTTAGTAAGCACAAACGGAGGGCGGGGTGCGATCCACTCTCACTGCGATGTAGGCCTTGGAGCGCCCACACACCGAGTTAACAGACTAGACCGAATAGAGACCTTGTTATGCGCGGACTTTTAAAGGGGTTTAAGGACGATTTATGAGCTGACGGGTCGTCTGGGTAAGAGCAGGTTGCACAATACCATGGTGCCCAGGTGTCTCATGATTCCAGCGACTAGTCAGTAGTAGAGCCAGGTATATTTCAACGTGATTACAGAACGTGCGTAGTACACTTCTAGGAGTATGAGAACGTCTGGGTATCATGTAAGCTATCGAAATCTCACCACGACTTTCTTGACATCCTCCCGGATTCTGCGAGCCCCGACTCAGAAAGACATCGACCAAGTCACGAACCCCCTGATTGCTTTGTCCCTCGCGTGCAGCCTGATCGAAGGACCCACGTGGGTAGGGAAAGAATGACGCGGTGAGCAAGAGCAATCCGCGTTTGCAATCGCTCTCTCACCTTCACTTTCAGTTTCCAAGTCACGCTTACCTAGAAATGCGAAAATCTCTTCAGTCATATATATCGTCTATCGCCGACTCAATTCCTACTCTCTTCTTCAACACTCTACCTACCTACTTGTCTCTATCTACGCATACACATACCAAACAAATTCACAATGTCTTCCTCAGCCGCCATCGGATTACGCGTGCTCACCCTGTTCGATGTCGATTCCCGCAAGACTTGGAACAACTTCCTTCTCTACCGTTCAATGACTTGGAACGACATGGTGGTGTCAATGCAAGCAGCGCTAAAGCGCGACGGTCAAGAGCTTTGGGTGCATGATAGGAATGGCGAACCCTTGACCGATACCGACCCTGTCTTCAACATGGCCAGCATCGCGGGCCGTGAGGTGTTGCTCGTCACAATTCGGGAGAACACCCGTGTTACTGCGGGCAAGGATATAGAGGTTGTGCTATATCTGGAAGAAGAAGATCCTAACGCGCTTCCGAAAGCTCTTCAGGTAAGTCCTCGCAAACCTTGTCGCTATGAATTCAGGAAGCCACTTCATCTATGTCACTAAAGTCAGAGAAGCCTGCGCTGAAGAACATCTGGCTGACTCTTTACTTCTAGAAACTCAATACCAAGGACAAGCGTATTCATATGGAGAAGCTTCGTCGCCGCGACGGTATCGAACAGAAGAACATTTGCCGCATTCTTCTTCCTCACTCTGAAGTCAAGAAACTCCTCGCGAAGATGAACAGCGTTCCTCAGTACACGTTCGACCGGACCTACTCGGTAGCCAATTCCATAATAGATATCCGCAAGAACTGGCGCGTCCGCACCACGGACCAGACCAAGCACCTCCTCAAGGATCAGAGGTGCGTCGCCATGGTCAGTATCTTCAGCAAAGCCCTTCCCGGCCAACACCTCTTGGGCGAAGACTTCCTCGTCGCCGCCAAGAATGCGCGTATCGCCGCGGGTGGGTCGTCTGAACCCGAGCACCTCCTAGAGCAAGACGTTTTGGACGCTATCCAAAAGCTTTACGAAGCCGCCAACGCGATCGATTCGACTTGGAATGACAACAAGGTCACCAAAGCCATCAACAAGCGCGCTGATCGGATGGAGGCGTATGGCTCGCGTAAGACGGGTGAATCGGCGACTGCATTTGCCAATGCCGAGGCCGAAGACATGGGTGAAGAGGCTGCTGAGGCGGCTTACATTGGCAAGGGAAAGGGAAAAGCGGTCGACAAGCTCGCTGGCCGTCTCGAGAAGACCAAGTTGCCGGACAACGTCATGGACGACGAGGACGACGAGGACGACGAGGACGACGAATCCGAGGCTGCCGATGACGCCAACGATCCAGACTACGTAGATTAGGTTGATGGAGGAGCCTGGAGGATGTCAGTGAGATGGGGGTGAGTGGAGAGATACATGCGAAGACGTCGAACACCTCCTGGGTCTGTTATGATATCTCAGTGTTTACTTGCATGTTTAGCGAAGGTGTTCTGGGATTACTATGGCGTTTTGGCGGTCTCTTGATAGTCCACTGAAGGGACTCTGGGTACTCTGATAATCTGACTACTTGGTCGAGCATACTATGATAATGACATACCTTTTCAGCAAACATCTCATCCCATGACCCGCAAGTATGGATGTGGCGCAGTGTTACGATTGCTTTCACTTGGATAGTCTGCTTAACTGATCTCTCGACGTGACGTAGCCAGCTCATGCGGGTACTGTTTGCACGTCCCCACTCCCACAATCGCACAAGTGAACGCGCTCACCCATCACATCCAAGCGATAATAAGAACGCATTGTACTACATATACATATTAAACTGAACAATATCCCAATAGAATCTGAGGGACCAGTAGCGTATGTCATTTGCATGTCTACCTCGTCGTGCGGGGTGTGATCCATTCACATACCTGGTTTCGGTGAAGCGATCTATTTTTGCTCTGGGTTCGAAACTGACTGCGCCCGTCAAAGTCGACCATCTTTTATTTTTGTTTCGCTGCTGCCCAATTCGTTATCCTTCACTCGTCACGGCATCCGCACCGCCATAACAAGTTTAGTCAGACCCCTCCAGCCACCCTAGCAGCGCGCTATGGTATCGCTCACTGTCCTGAACTTGTGGACTGTGGCCTAAGTCCTCAAACTCAATAAGCTCTGCATCCGGAATCCTCGCCGCCGCCTCTTTACCCAAAACCTCGTATTTCCCTATCTTAGCCTGCACTTCTGGCGGACTCCAAGCTTTACCGATAGCCGTCGTGTCTTTCGTCCCAATCAAGAGGAGGGTCTTGGGCTGCACCAGCTCAAACTCATACGCAATCGGTTGAGTCAAGACCATATCCGTCGTCTGTGCCATATTCCACGCAAAGTCAATGTTCTCGGGTGACGTTTGGTAGAGCGAGACTAGCATGTTAACCCAGACATCGTATTCCGGCTTCCAGGTATTGACGTAGTAGGTGGCCTGTTGGTACTTCCGAATCGATGTGTAGTTGGTGGCCAGCTCGTCTTTGTACAAGGCGTCGAGATTGCGCCAGGGTACTCCGAGTGCTTTCCAGTCTTCTAGGCCGATCGGGTTTGTGAGAATGAGATGGGATGTTTGTTCTGGATACATCAGGGCGAAGCGCGTGGCTAGCATACCGCCCATAGAGTGACCGAGTACGTATGTTGAGTTCACGCCCAGGCTTTGCAGTAGCAGATGCGTGTTTCGTGCGAGCTGCTGCAGCGAGAACTGGTAGGCGGGAGGTTTGGACGACTTGCAGAAGCCAATCTGATCCGGGATGATGACGCGGTATCCTTGGGCTGAGAGACGACGCGCAGAGTCCTCCCATGTCGCGCCGCAGAAGTTCTTGCCATGGAGGAGCGTGATGGTCTTGTTCGAAGCATAGCTGGTGTTATGAGGAGGTACGTCCATGTAAGCCATTGAGAGGTTGGCGCGTTGCGACGTGAACTCAAAATACTGCACTGGCCATGGGTAGGTGTAGTTCCAGATACTGGGCGGAACCTTACTCGCGCCGAACGCCGTCGCAATGAGTTGCGTGAGAAGAAGTAGCTTTAGTCGCATCTTGAGATTGACGGTGGGAAAATAATACGAACGAATGTAGTGCCGAGAGAGAGGTGTGTAGAAGATGAGTTTGCTATTCAAACTCTTGAATTCTGACATGCATATGATGTGCAATGACGCCTGCCAATCTATCTTGCCTATCGCGACCCACTCCAATTCTTGTCTTCTTGCATCTCTTCGTATTGCGATCTGCTGCATGGTGCGAGCGCGCTCAAACCCATTGACCGATGAAAAGGACGGAGCGTGTTCGGTCTCGTTCGTTCTGACAGCGATATACATTCTGACCTCTTCGTCTCACAGTTGTCTGGTTTAACATAGCCGCTACTGTGTTCATGATGCTGCTATACTTGCCAAGATGAAGGGTCTCCGATTAATCCTCCAATGAGATGGAGGACACCAAGCGGTACTCATAGACGACGCCCCTGTGTTGTCGAGTTTAGCGACCGTTAAAGAATCCATCATCGGGCATAGAAACTACCGTCAATATTGTGGACATATACCTGTCGCTTCCCTCAAGCAAGGAAGTAGTCGATTGCCGGAAGGAACAAACCTGCCAGATTGTGCCCAGCTGTGAGGGGAATATGGCGACTAGCGCGCAAAACGGCTAGCACCAAGCTGCGCGTGTTGAACCCCGGAACCCCATCAAATTCCCAGCTTCCACTGCTCCGCTCCCCAGTTCAAGCCACACCCCGCGAACGGACAGCGAAGACATCCACCCGACCCCTGCATCATCTAGCATCCATGATGCCATCGCCACGAGGCCGGCGGGCTACATGCAGTGCCTAAACGGCTAAATTACATCGCACCTGAACCTCGGATGAAGATGCATAGACCACTCTCGCGATGCTGCGCTCGGTGTGATCTAACTGCAGGCCAAGCGATACATCGATCTGGAAGGACTCACATCCATTGCGATATCAAGTGACAAGCCAGGATGCATATCATGTCCTCATGTTCAGGCGAGTGCATTCGCTTCAGATACGAGAGGTTTTAGCACGCGTTTGTCGTTCGGTAGAATCGTTGCGGTACCAGTGTTCTGCTTAAGCATTCTGCCACTGCCCCTGCCTAGTGATCGATCTACACCTCGTTTCCTGGGGTTAGTCCGTTCTCGAATGCTTATTTCCAATAGCCTCATGTGGAGGAGAGCTGCTTGTGGCTAGCGCTACGGTTGTTCATCTGCAAGCACGACGCCATCCGGGTTACCGGCGCCGTATAAGAGGATCAAGATGAACGACCATGGTTCTTCAGCTGTCGATCAAGTCTCTGCGCCAAGCTGGACATTCAAGATGACAGTCATCACCACCCTCGTTGCCGCTGCGGCGGCTGGTATTGTTGCTGTCTCTCAGGCTTCACCAGTGGGATCAGCACCTGCCGTTGGCGTGTCGAACGCAAAGTCTTCTTTGACACTCATCTACCAGAACAACCTCAACGGCTCAGACGACAAGAACCACATCGGTGCCATCATCCTCGACCCGGTCCCTCAAGCCAATGCAGCAGCAGCCTGTGCCTCGCTCAACGAGAAGCTCATTTCTAAGGCTACGCTCCAGAAGTACCAGGCTGATTTCAACGATGCTCTCTCATACCAAGATTATGCCAAATACACCGATGCTGAACGAGGGTACTACATCGACAGCGGCGTGGTCTCAGTCGGAAACCGAGTGAAGTACATGTCTGCTTCATCACACCACAAGCAACTCCCAGTGCTGTGTACACAGTCGGCAAACAACGGTTCAGCGAGCGCCGGGCCCGTGAACGGAAGTTCTATCTCGGTTGCGTCTGGTGGAAACACTTTTGTCGGATACCGAAACCAGAAGTCCTTTAGGTTCCTCGGCATACCATACGCCGATACGCCTACCCGTTTCAAGTACTCTTCACTCTACTCTAAGAAGGGTCAAACAATTCAGGCTACCGAATACGGCTCCAATTGCATCCAAGGTGGTGGTGGAAGCGAAGACTGTCTCTTCCTCAACATACAAACACCATACATCCCCAAAGTAGGATCGAAGAAGCAGCTCCGCCCCGTATTGTTCTGGATTCACGGTGGTGGATTCACTGGAGGAAGCGGTGCTGATCCACTCTCCGACGGTGGAAACCTTGCAAGCAAGGAAGATCTTGTCGTGGTTAACATCAACTACCGTCTTTCGACCCTCGGCTTCCTAGCCATTCCTGGAACCGATATCAAGGGCAACTTTGGTATCGCCGACCAAATCGTGGCGCTCGACTGGACTATCGCAAACATCGCTGCCTTTGGTGGTGACCCAAAGAGGATAACCATCGCTGGAGGATCTGCTGGAGCTGGTTCTGTCCGAACACTATTGGGTTCTCCCAAAGCCATAGGAAAGTTTCAAGGTGCCGTTGCCTTGTCCAATCTCGGAGGAGGCGTGACGCTTGGTCTGGACGGTGACTACGGAACAACCTATTCAACCTACTACACGGTCAATCAAAGCTACACCGTCGCCGGACCTCAGATCTTTGCGGCCGCTGGCTGCAACGGCACTGATGTGTCGGCCCAAATTGCTTGTCTCGACAAAGTCCCTGCTGCAGACCTAGTTGGTTTCAACACTGTAGCCCGATATGTCGTCCAAGACGGTACCTATGTCAACACGCCCGAACTCATCATCTCAACCCGCAATGCCAGTACCGCGCACATTCCCGTCATCTTCGGTACCGTCCTCGATGACGGCGCTTCATTCTCTACATACCCCACAAGTCCCATCTCAAACCACTCTCAAGGCCTACAGGAAGCGCTCGGCATCAACAGCACATGGGCCGAACGTGTCATCCAGTCCGGTCTTTTCCCCTTAACCAGCACCGGCAACCTAACGCTCGACTCCTTCAACGTCTCGCAGCGTATTGCCACTGACAAGACTTTCCGCTGTGCCGATCAATCTACAGTCTACTCTGCCTCGCGATCAAAAGCTTTCTCAAAGACATACTACTACCAACTCGACCGTTCCATCGACGGCTACGACCCCAACAACCTCGGCGGCCCCGCCAACGATAACCCCGATAACCCTTACTTCCGCTTCCACGGCGCAGATTCGCCTTGGTTCTTTGGCGTTCTGAACCGCATCCGCGAACCAGAAGATCTGTGGAGCATTCAGCTCACTACTAGCTACTTCGCTTCTTTCATTAGGAGCGGCGATCCGAATCCTAGCTTGAAGTATCTTGATGTAAGAGGATACTACAAGGTGCTTGAAGGTGTGACGAAGTACGGTCAGTGGATGCAGGTAGATGCGACTAAGAAGTCGGGAGATGAGATTAGGTTGCTGGATTGGCCGAGCAAGAGCGCTGGGTACACGGATGTGGAGCAGTGTGATTGGTTGGGGTACCCTCTTGACTACTATCTTAATGGGGGTATTTGAGTGATCGTACTGCTATCAGCCGTGTCGTTATGTAGTCATATATAGGAGAAGCCCTCTCAATGCATGTGTAATTGTCATCATACCTTCTACCAAGTTGCTATCGATGCAGTCCATCTAGAACGCCTTTAAAGAAACCAAATGATAAAGGCAAAGCTGACAATACCCCCCCAACACTATTCGATGCTAATCTACTCACCCCCCACGACCTCACCAATCCGTCCTCATACTATAATAAAAATTCCCACTAACCTTCCCCAACAAATGATCCCCATACCTCCCCTTCCCATACCCGCCCTTCCCGCCCGTCCTCTCCACACACTTCCCCAACGGCTCAACCCACGCCTCAAAGTTCGGCTCATAGAAAAACGGCACACTAACCCTATACCTCTCCCCCCTATGAATAACCCGATGTTTCGTACTCTTCCACACCCCGTTCGTCCACCGCTCAATCATATCGCCAATGTTGACGACAAACGCGCCGGGGAGCGGGTCTGCATTCAGCCAGGTTGTCCCGTCTTTGAGCAGGACTTGGAGGGAGGAGGGAGTGGGGTCTGTGAGGAGCAGGGTTACGCAACCGTAGTCTGTGTGGGCGCCGCAGGAGAATTGGTCGATGTTGTCATCACCGGAGATGGGTGTTGTGAGGGGTGGGTAGCCGATCATGCGCATGACCCAGAAGGAGTCGGAGCAGTTGCGCAGGAAGATCTCTTCGTCTTGCGTTGATTGTGTTGCGCCTTCTTGTGGGGGACCGAGATCGAGGGCTACGCCCATGGCGTGCACGAGGGCTTCGCCGACTTTCTTGACTTTCTCTATGTATTCTTCGTACACAGGTCTGAGCTGTTCGGGTTTCTCGGGCCATAGATTGACTCCTTGGAGACTCTTCACGCTGCCTGGTCCGCCATCGCCTGGTTCTCTTTCTTCAACGGGCCAGTCCCGGTACCAGTCAATGGCTTCTTGCATATCTTGCAGCCCACCCGTTACATTTTCGCCGAGCCCCTGGTAGCCGCGCGCGCCGTCGCCTCCTTCTGGACTGCCGGCGTCGAAGCGCTTGATCTTGTTCTTTTCTTCGAGTGGTAGAGAAAAGAATTCACGCGCCAGGTCAATGATTTCGTCGAGTTTGGACGTGGGGATGCCGTGGCCGGTTAGGTAGAAGAAGCCGTAGTTTATGCAGGCGGCGTTTATGGCGGAGGCGGTTGTTGAACGGGCTTCTTGAGATGAGGAGGTGTCCATAAAGGGGGATATGTCGATTATGGGTAGTCCATCTTTTTGGGCCGCGGCGATGGGCTTATCGTAGCGGGAGCCGGAGTCGGGAGTGGGGTTGAGGTTTGTGGGAGGTGAGGATGTAATGCCATTTGACTGTTTGTCTCCTACTGGATGGGGGGATATGTTCGTATCTGACATTATATATTCCGGCAGATGACCCTCTCTTGTTTGGTTTGCTAACTCTCTTTCAACTCAAAGATTGATGATGGACCGTATTGCCTCTGACTCAGACACGATAACGGTCCTAATAACTCGCAACCAATCTTCCTGGAATGAAGTTAGCAGTGATGTAGGGTTTTTTTGTGAGTACTGCGTATAAAGGTTGATGAGGTTGGCAAGTTGGTACAAACGTGTGTTGGAGTGGAAAGGTCGAGATGTTGGATGTTCGGATGGCGATGCCCGATCGAGACTAGACGCGGCTATTCTAGGACATGTTCAAGTCAAGACGCAATAGCGGTAGACATGCGTTCAGATCATGCTACTGCGAAGGACGTTGTCCAACGTGATGACTACACACGCTGTCTGTTCACGATGAAGATCTTCCACCACACGTATGGTGCACGTCAATTAGCCTGCTGCCAAACAATGCAGGGCAACAGAAAGCAGCGCCCAAAGAATCGCATCTTCACACATGTAAGCACGAGGTAAAGATCACTCTGGCTATCATCGTGGCTTCATTTCAAGTATAGTGGTATATCGCTCTATCCAGTGACCACATGTCATGCATCGCATCATGATTAATTTCTATAGATGCACCTGTATCGCATCATCACGCACTGCTAACTAGCAACACACTGTTACCAATCGTGGTCATTTACATGATGACCTCGTTCGAGACGTCCTGTACAACACGTTAGCACACGCTGCGAACACATATATTAATTGACTCACCCTCTTAAGCTCCTTGTAAGGCAGGCAAACACAGTTTTGCACGCGAACCTCATCAGCGACAGCACACTCCTTTCCGAGAATGGTGATGCTCTGGACCTTGACGCCGTTCTTGATGACGCTGGTCGTGTGGCTGGTAACGGGGGTAGGAGTGCCCTCGACACGCGCCCAAGCACCGACCTTGCTGTGCCAGCCGATGATGGTGTACAATACGCAAGCGTCGTGCTTGATCTCTGAGTCTTCAAGAACGATGGACTCCTTGACACGGACACCAGCGCCAATCACGACGCGGGGACCAATGGACACGTTGGGACCGATCTTGGCGGTTGGATCGATCTGCGCGGAGGGGTGGATGTAGACGGGAGGGAGGATGTTGGCGGAGGGGGCGGCGAGTTCTTCTGAGCCAGCTTGGAAAGCCTTCAGGAGGTACAGAGCATTTGCTGGCACGGCGGAACCAGCGGTCTTGATCTGGCGCCAGAAGTCCTTGGTCTCGAGGACGAAGAACTGCCTGCTGTCGGCGATGTCAGACAGCACGTCCTGCTCCAATCGAATAACTGCATTCTCCTTGTTGTCATCGTCATCGTCGTTTTGGTAGAAGGAGGATTCGAGGTTCTCGGAGGAGGGGTACGACAGCAGCCGTGGGCGCTCGGTCCGTCGCTTGATGGCGCTGCGAATGGCGGGGAAGATGCACTCGGTCGCGAAGAGGTAGACGCCGCAGTTGATGAGGTTGGAGATGTGCGACTCGGGCTTCTCGACGTAGTGCAGCACGCGCTTCGTGTGCGCGTCCGAGACAATGCATCCGAAGTTGGAGGCGGCGTCGTTGGCGACGCGCGTACCCAGCATTACCGCCTCCGCATCCTTGTCCTCGAACAGCTTGAGCATCTCCACCAGCGGGAACGAGGAGCAGACATCGGCGTTGAGCACGAATAGCTTCTCGGGCCTGCCCTTCAGTATGACGTCGCGGAAGTGGTAGAGACCACCCGCTGTGCCCAATGCCTGGTATTCGCGGAGGTACTTAACGCTCAGGTGTGGCCAGATGGTCGAGACGGAGTTGATGAATTGCTGGAAGACGGACTCCTCGTAGTAGCCGACGATGAAGACCTCCTTGATCTCGGGGACGTTTGTGATGGCGCGGAAGCAGTGCTCGATTATGGGGTGGCCGGCGATGGGGAAGAGCGGCTGGAGTAGCGTTAGCGGGGACGCCCTGGGGCTGTCTATATCGCGTCGTCGCGTACCTTGGGCAGTTCCATAGACAGAGGCCTGAAGCGTGTGCCGCGAGAAGGGCCTCCGACCTAGTCTGGTGAGTATGCATGGCTGCGTCGGTGTTGTGGGCAGTATCTACCAGAATCACGGCCTTGGTCGAGCCTCCAGACGGAGACTTGGGCCTCATGGAGAGGGAAGGCGGCTGCAGACTCATAGTGGCGTAGTTTTGGATGTGAAAAAGCAAGCTGGAATCAAGAGATTGCAGAAAAGCCTCAAGATCAGAAGAAAGGTGCAGTGAGTACAATTGCGAATCTGGCCTTCAGGAACGAGTTGGTGGACCCTGGAAATCCAGCCCACGCTGGCGTTGGCGGTGAGGCGCCCTGGCGAATCGGGGCGTCGGCGCATCGTCAGGTGCATGTCGACTTCACCTTTTCACACGCCAGCTGTGAGGGAATACGAGCAAGCTAAATCCGTCGCGCATATACGATGTCACAATGCTAGCACTTCTGCTACCAAAATAATAATCTGGATTTAGTCGATAGCTACTAAGCATATCGTCTGTCGAAACCTCCTACCACCTATGCTATACATATTGGGGATTCCCATCAACCTATACCACCACTACTTTCCCACGCCAGTCGCCAGCTTCTTGTTCTTCTTGATCAGCGCGTTGAGCTTCTTCTCCAACACATCATGCTCCCTCCTCGCCGCATGCATGGCCTGCTCCGCCTCTTCCATAGTCAGCACACTACCTCTTCCTCGCCTCGTGTTGCCGTATCCACCCATTCCAGCTGTCGTCTCAATCGCGTTCATCAAACCTTGCATATCCAGTCCGCTTCCACCGCCATTTCCAAACGTGATGTTGCCGTTTCCATCAAGGCCGAACTCTTGTGAAGACTGGTAGCCAAGTCCAGCACCCACGAGCGCTTCGAGACCCTGTACAAACACGCCACCAAGCCTGTCAGCCGCCATTAATCCCATACCGTCTATCTCTGTGCTTCCTACCGCTCCGCCCTCAACCACTGCCTTGGCCGCTTTAGCTAATCGGTTCGAGTTGACAGATATGTTGGCTGTCCCGGCCCCAGGTGCGCCACCAACAGCCGCCATCTCGGGACGTGGCTGGTTTGGCGGTGGATTGTCCGTCTTAGGGAGAACGTATTGATTTAGGTAAGCGCCGGCATCTGCGGGTGTTTGCTGCTGTTGTGGGGGAGGGACCTGGGGCATGGACGCGTCCTGTCCTTGTACCGGTGGCAAGGGAAGGTTCGTCGAACCGAGAAGTCCAGAAGAATTGTCCAGTCGCGGCATCTGCTGTCCGCCGTTGGTGTTCAGCTTCTTACCTGCCTCCTTGAGTGCAGTCGCGATAGCTGGGAGGACGTCATTCGAATGCGCTGAAGTAGTCATGCTGTGACCGTGTGCATTTTGCTTACGGGGGTGGAAGCGGGCATGGCCTTTGAGCTCCTCGATGTGCTTCTCAAGCTCAAGTGCCTTATTCTCAAGCTCCTCAGTCAAACCCCAGAAGAACTTGCCGTTGGGCGTGATGAGAGTCCTGGAGTCTGGCTTTGCGTCCTGGCTGTTTAGACGTACCGGCTTCTTTTTCGCAAGCGCCTCGAGGTCTGCTTGAGAAAAGTGCAATTTCAGATCAGGTGGTGTAGACATATTGCCGTTCTGAGTAGCACGGGTAGCGTGAGCAAGCGACGAAGACAATGGTTTGAAGAACTCAAGAGTTGACGCAAGGAGCTCGCCAGTGCGCTGCAAGTCAGCCATGATCGATTGAGCTGAATGCTCCCGCTTTTCCTTGGGCTGTTCGGGCTCAGGCTCCGGTTCAGGCGTTGCCGTTGCCGAGATCTTCGCTGACGACACTCTCCGTGAGGCCACTGTCGGCACTTCAGGTTGCTCTTCTTCGACAGTAGCTGGCTTGGGCGAGGCTGGCTGACTTTTGAATGCAGCGGCAATGGGTTTGGCGTTTGTTGTCGGCTTCTTGGCTTTCTTCTTGCGCCCGACGATTGGAGCTTGCATTACCTCAACATCCGACTTGTTGTCTTCCAGTATTTCTTCTTCTATCTGCTTCTTCCGCTCTTGCCTATCCTTCTTGGCTTGTGACTTTGTCTTCTTCCTGACAGGCGCAGTCCCGACCTTACCGCCGATCGGAGGCGGTGAGCTGGCCCTGGAAAATGATGTAGAAGTGACTGAAGCAGTATCCGATATCATTTCGCTTGGTGTGCCTGGTATATTGACGGAAGCGATACTCGCTTGCCGAGATCGAAGCTTGTCGACCGTCGGGATTTGAGGCAAGGACGGTTGTGATGCCGCTGGAGTAGGCGGTGGCGCTTCTGTCTTTGGTGTTGCGACGACACGCAAAGTCCTCGGCGCACCCGCGCGCTTGATTGGCGATCCAGTACCCGCTGCGGCGGGACTTGGAGGTACAGAACTGGCGGATGTTGCTGGCACAGAACGACTGCTTTTTGTCTGAGAGTCTGCTTTGGATGAGTTTGGAGCTGGAGAACCCGCTTCGACCGGCAGCTTAGTTGCTGCTTGGATATCTAGCTTGCCAGGAGGCTGTCGCTTGGTCGAAGCTGGAGGCGTCGCAGTCGCGACAGGAGTGCGCGCTGTCTCTTTCTGTGGCTCTCTCTTCGGTGTAGTCTGAATAGCATGTTGGGTCTTCTTGGAGGCACCCTTTGACTTTGGCGTGTCTTTGCTAATCGTTTCCGCCATCGACTTCTTGGCATCTGGTGTAGACTTCGGTGTCTGCACAACGTCTTCTTTGGCCGCTTTGGAAGCCTCTCTGGGTGTGGGTTCCTTGGGAGTCTGCGGAATGACGACTGCTTCCCTAGTTGTCGTCCTTGAAGGAGTCGCAGGTGCAGGCGAAGGCTTGGAGACAGTGGTCGCGGTGGGCGCTGCTGCAGGAGTCGCAGGTTCGATAGTCTCGCTCTTCTGTTTTCCCTTGCCATTCTTGTTAGGGGTTGAGGTGGAAAGCGGCGTGGCAGGTACAACAGGCACAGCCGGTATGATGGTCGAAGATGTAGTACGGGACATTGGTCGAGATCCAGCACGCGAACGTGACTCTTCGAGGACTGCTTTGGGAATGGCTGGCGCTGTGAAGCCAGGCGGTATAGTGGGAGTCGATCGACGAGGATGCTCGAAAAATTGGCCACTTAGTGGAGTGCTTGGAGCCGGTCGTGTTGGCTCATTGTCGCTGTCGTTAACAAGTGCATCGACGTTGATAGATGCCTGTTCCTCTACACTCAAAGATCCATCATCTGCAATACTACGTTAGCACTAGAAACTTGAATGTATGAATCGACAAAAGCGGAGTCAGCGTCTATAAGTACGGCGGCCGCCAGACGATGGTCAGGATGGTTGATAAAAGCGCAAGGTACATCATGTTGCAAAAGTCGTCTCTCGAACATCTTCGTCACTTGGTAGGCAAGAAAACAGTGAATAGGCCATCTCTCTATTAGAAAGTAAGCATGCCGACATGATGCGGCAGGAGGGGTAGTTACGTACATGCGATGACCATGACGAAGACGACGAGAGAAGCCAACCTTTGCAGCGGCAGGACAGCGCAATCCACCAAATCATGACAGAAAATGAAAAGAAATGACAAGGTATAGGTGCCGTGAAGACATGCCGGGGCCATATGCTTTGACAAAATCCGTGCAGTCCAATCATAACGCCAGGCGATCCAGTGTCGAAGCACTGAATATGTGCCGATGCATTCGCCGTAAATCCGAAACGCCATGCAGCCATCATTGAAGTAAAGTACTAAGACAAAATGTCAAGCCGCTAGGCCGACCCGAGTGCAGAATGAAAATGACTACCATCGTCCAGCGCCGCCGTAGTTGTTGTTGGAATAGAGCGAAGAGAAACCACCTTGGCCTTGACCATACAAGCCCTGCCCGGCCATTCCGCCTTGGTGCAGCCTCGCCTGTAAGATACTCGGGTCTTGAACATCGGCAAGACCGCCACCCCCAGAGGAGGAAGTGTTGGCATGCCTATGCTTCTTGCCCTTTTTCTTGGATTTCTGCGAACCAGACTCCTGGTAAGCTCCAGGCGAAGGTCCATAAGGGAAGCTGAGGAGGCCAGGGGCAGGAGCAGGTGTGGAAGTTGAAGGATGTTGGTTAAGGAAAGAAGGAAACATTGACTCACGCTTTCCAGCTTCAGCTAGCCTAGCACCACCGTCCATGTTACGGCTGCGGAGCAGGTCCTGATACATGGCATCATTGTTGTTCCTGGCCGTTGCGCCAGCCCCATAAGGCAGACCACCAGTAGCGAAACCGTGGCCTTGACCGAACATGCCAGTCCCGCTGACCGGGGGTGTGCCAGTAGGCTTGAGTCCTGGAGGGGGTCCCTGCACGTTGGTGAAGAACTGCCCACTCAACTGCTGATGCTGAGACATGGGGTTGAATTGATTGGCGTTCTTGGGCATCATCGAGTTTTGCTGGCTCATCAGCTTCTGGTTCGCGACAGGCTGCACATTCGCAGAAGCGGAAGCGCTATCGTTGGCGAAGCTGAAGCGTGAAGTGTGCCTGGTGTGGCTAGAAGCATTTTGCTGTTGAGGGTGCTGAGCACTCGGCATGTTGTTCAGAAGACCCGTGGCTTGGGTACCAGACTTGAAGTTGGAGAGCAATAGCTGCTGCTGTTGCTGAGGTGTAAGACCTCTGTTGCTCAGTCCCAGGCTGCTGAAGTCCTCGGCCAATGGCGTGTTCTGTCCGAAAAGGCTGCCACCAAAGCCTTGCTGACCGGGTGGTGCAATGGCGTGCTGATTGAGGTGGTTGGTGCTTGTCTCGGGACCGTCTTCGGGCTCTCCTCCTAGCTGTAAGCTGCCGCCTGCCGTTGCTTCGTTGTCTTCGCGCTCGGCAGCCGGGGCTTGTTGAGAAGCTGCCTTTGCTACAGCTACAGCTTCCGCCTCAGCCTCGCGCTGCAATGCCAATTCCTTCTCCTTCTTTTCCTTGATGGCACGACGCTTAGCACCGCCATTGGGATCCAGTAGTTGAGGGAACTCGGTGACAGCTTTCAGTTCTTCCTCCGACAGAACGGCGCTCGAGAAGACGAACTTAAAGTCTGGCGAGCAGATGACCTTCAGTAAATCGTGGATACCGTTGTCGCGGGGCTTCGGTGGGCGGGCGGCGGTTGCGGGTGTCGGAGCAGGCGGCGGGGTTGCAGCCTTCGATGCTTGTGCAGCCTTCTCCTTTTCCCTCTCTTTCTCCTTTTCTTTTTCTTTTTCTTTGTCCTTGCCCTTCTTCTTTGGTGGCTCAGCTGCCTTCGATGGTTTGGGTGGTTGCGCGGGAACAGCATTCGTGACCATGGGACTGGCGTTGTTCGAAGCGACCGTGGATCGGCTGGCTCGGCGTTCCAGCAACGCCTTGCTTCCCCAGCTAGCGGTTGCAGGCAAACCGGGTGCCTCGTGTATCGAGCTCGACGTATCGGTACTATCCTGTCGATGCATCGGGATCGCGGCAGCGACAGCGGGACCCTGGTGGGCGGGGGGCGCGGCTCGAGACGTAGATGATTGTGACGGTTGTTGCGTCTGGATTGAGTTCATCATGGAGAGATCTTGGCGAGTGAAGCTGTCGTTATCTTCGCCGGGTTCGTGCAAGAACATGCAGTTGCGGTTATTGCAGGTCTCGCCGCGAAGGTACGCGGAGCAGTACTTCGTAGTACCAAATTGAGCCCTGCAAGAGACGTGAGCTTGTTACATGACACGTGTGCATGGATAGAAATTCACATACCTTAATGTCCTCTCGCCATTCTGAGAACCGTCGACAGCATTGATGCACTTCTCTGCATCTTCCTTGCGAGCGAATGTCACATAAACACCCACCGACTGTTGATGCTGCGCGTTCTCCTTGGCTTTGCTGACGACGATCTTGAGGATCTTGCCGTACTGGCCGAAATAGTCGTCTCCACGAAGAGTCTTGAGCAGTTCGTCTTCGCGTATCGTCGGCGTGAGACCGGTCACGTATACGAGGTTCTTCTGGACGACACGCAGACCAGACAGGTGCTTGCGGCTGAGGGAGTCGGCTTCGGCTTTCTGTGCTTCCTTCTGCCGTATCTGCGCGTTCTTCTTGGCCTTTTGCGCGATGAGCTGCTTGTGTTGTGCCATCCTGGACAGTGTCAGATGTGTTTAGAGATAGAAGGTGCAGGGGACCCACTCTTCGGGGGAGATGGTCTTCCACTCGATCGTGGAGTCATCGTAGGGGCGGCGGCAGGCGGGACACAGTCCGTTCATGGTCGTCTTGATGTTGTTGTAGCAGAACTGACATATCTGGCACGTGGGTCAGCATGGGACTCGAGATGGTTCACCGAGTTTTGGCACAAAGGCGTACTTGGTAGCCGCATGGGCAGGGGCGGAAATTCCTGTCCGAGAGGTCGAACTCTTCGACGCAGAGCGGGCAGCACTCCTCCTCGTCATCGTCGACGAACTGGTCCTGCTGCAGTCGAGACATGGTGTGTGGTGTTGCGATGTGTTGTTGAGAGCGGGTGGCGCCCAAAGTAGAGATACGTGGGGTGAGACGAGACCTGGGGGGTCAGGACGAGAGGTCAGTAAGGAAACCGCGGAAGTACAAATAAACGCCGGCCGGAGTGTCGCTGTCGCTGGAAGAGGGATCCACAGGAGGTGATGGGGTTTAAGAGGCTGCACCTGCGCGATGGCACACCAGGTTCCGCTTAACGCTAGCGACTTACATAAGCGTGCATTTGCGGGTGGGAGCTGCGAACTCGACGACGTCGACGACATCACCACCCGCAGTCGCCCTCACCTGCTACATCGCGTAGCCTCACCACTCTCTCACCGCACACAATGGCTATGCGGCTAGCTGTCGGCCGGCCATTGGGCGCCGCCGTCCGCGCCTCGGGCTCCTCCCGCCATGCAGTTCGCACCTTTGCCTCCACGGCTCTCCGGGCAAAGGAAGTCGCGGGTCCCGAATCGGAAACGCCAAACATGAGGGTGCGCATGTCACATGATATGGCGAAGACGTGGTTTCTAATGTGAACGCAGTTTGCCCCCCGCGACGAGACCGTTACGCTCAAGCGCGCCATCGTAAACCCGGCCGACCACTACAAAGAGAAGGGCGAGGCTCTGCACAAATATGGCCAGTACATCATGTCATGTCTGCCCAAATACGTCCAGCAGTATGTCAGTCCACATCTGGGAGTAACTACAGTCTGACCCTACCCAAGATTCTCCGTCTGGAAGGATGAGTTGACCATCTACGTCCCGCCCGCCGGCATCATCCCCACCTTCACCTTCCTCAAGTACCACACCGCCGCAGAGTACACACAAATCTCAGATATCACCGCTGTCGACTACCCCACCAAGGACCAGCGTTTTGAGGTCGTCTACAACATGCTCAGCATCCGTCACAACTCGCGCCTGAGGGTCAAGACGTACGCGGATGAGGCCACTCCAGTACCCAGTCTGTGCGATCTCTACGATGGCGCCAACTGGTACGAACGTGAGGTCTACGACCTGTTTGGTGTGTTCTTCGTTGGACACCCCGATCTGAGGCGAATCATGACCGACTACGGTTTCGATGGCCACCCACTGCGAAAGGACTTCCCCATGACCGGATACACTGAGATTCGGTACGACGAGGAGAAGAAGAGGATTGTCGTAGAGCCCCTGGAGATGACACAGGCTTTCAGGAACTTCCGTGGTGGCTCATCAGCATGGGAGCAGGTCGGTCCCGGTGACGATCTCAAGCCGGAGAACGTAAGCTATCCTTCATACTACACTTCCGTCACAGCATCTAACATGTTCATAGTTCAAGCTCCCAACACCAAAGCCAGAACCTCCCAAGGAGGGGGAGCAAAAGAAATAGAAGATTTAGAGAGTTTGGGCTGTATATACCTGCGAATGAATGTGCTTGTACAACATCCAAGATCCCACGATATGCAAGCTGCTGTCATAATTTGGTAGGTATCGCCGATGTACCTATCGGTTCCTTTGAGTCTGCACAAAGTAGATTGCATGTCTGAGAAGGACCGACAAGACTTCTAGCAAGGACATTCAGAGGCGGCACGAGCACAACTGCTGCAACATAACCAGGCCTCGTATTTCGTATTTGAGGTCCTGTTTTCCCATGCCAAGCAGATCTCGCAATCTTCAGCCCAATCAAGTAAGCGTCAAGCGCTGCACCTTCCGTCGATTCTTACTAGTCGGGTAAACATCGGTAGCTGCTATACGACGTATTGCATGATCTGCCGTAGTGTAGCTCGATGTGTAAGACGTACCACCAAGTTATCCATCGGAACTCAGATTTCGCATTTTCTCGCCCGGAACAGTACCCCGCTTTCCCCGGCTGCATCACGGGATGCCAGGATTCCAGGACGAAGAGGCGTTGGGGTAGTCTCCTTTGGCGGTCTGAGTGGGTTCTTGGACAAGGACCTTGAACAACTCCACAGCTATGGAGCTGAATCGACCCGGGGTTGAACCGTACTTCCGACTTCCTGCCAATCAAAAGCGCTACCGTACTTTCGCAGTAGTCAACTTCGTCACCTCCGTCACACCTGTCTTGCATCATGGTGCCAAGGTATAAATACCATTACGATCCCATAGATACCATGCATCATCAAGATGAAGTCTTACATCGTCTCTTTCCTCGCAGCCACAGCCACAGCCGCAGCCACCATGTCCAACACCACCACCACAACCATCAAGCCTTTCAGCCTCTCGGCTCCACCAAACACTGACATCTGGCGCAAGCCTCCCACGCACAACGCCTTCAATGCATCGACCTACCCAGAGCAGCTCCCAACATACACTCTGAAGAACTTTCAGCGAGCGCAGCTGTCGTTCGAGCTCCCACCGTCCGACCAACTCCGTCAATACGACCAAGCCGGCCTCTTGCTGCATGTCACCAAGCCAGGTGTCCCAGACAACCAAACCAAATGGATCAAGACTGGTATTGAATTCTACTACGGAAAGCCCTACGTCGCGACCGTTGGCTGTGATGCTTGGGCTGACTGGTCACTTACACCAATGCCTGAGTTCAAGAACGGTACTATGCCCGGTGCCACCATTGAGGCAAGAAGGGAGAGCGATGCGCTCGGCAACAGTCTTTGGATTTACTGGATCATCAAGGATGAGGCTGGCAAGGAGGTCAGCAGGCAGCCATTGAGAGAGGTCACCTGGGTCCTTGCTGAGGAGTACGAGCGATGGAGCGTGAGTATCGCAGGATACGTTTGTCGCCCGACTACGGCAGGTGGCGATGGGATGCTTGAGGCGGAGTTCAAGGACGGTCTGGAGATTGAGACTCTCAATCACGTGTAGGGGGAGGGCGCGAGTTTGGCGTTTGTTATGGTACGTGATATCGTCACCTGCGGTTGCGATAGTATCTGACTGACAAACAATAGAAGGTGTCTAAGTCGCAGTGACGCGTGGATAGCCAGTACATATCTCAATCTAATATCTTATACCTCCATATATACGAACTTCTCCGCATATATCTTGCTCAATTAGGCTATCAGACCCACACCTTACGACGGCAGTGTGCGAAAATCCACTCGAGTCTGCTCCCATGAGAGAAGCACGAGCCATCATTGGCTTTGGAGAAGGGTCAGTCGAGCGTAAGCGACGATTTTTCTCATTCATTGAGCAAAGCAAACTCACTGCGCCTGCCTAGAGAGAGCACTGACCTCTGGGCTATATATCTTCTTCGATTTTGATCTCTTGGTCCACACTCCCTCTTCGACAAGGATAGCCATCTGTTTCAATACCCTTTACAATTCCGCGACCATGGTTAAAATTCAGTTGTACTGTCCATCCACCAAGAAGACTGTCGAGGACTTCTACGTCACACCATTTCAGACTCTCCAGCAAGTTCTACCAAGTGTACGGCTTGCCTTCGACCTCAAGTATGCAGCGATATACACCACCGAGGCCAAACCAATCACGGAACCGAGTACCCTTGAAGAAGACCAGCGGGTCCTGGTAGCGGCCAGCGCTACGGAAGTTATGTTACCCGATTCGCCATCTGAGTGGGTACTGTACGACGGCGAGGAGGGCGACGACATCCACCCGGACGTCGAATGCTATGGCCTGGGTTGGGAAGTAAGTCTACATTGATCTCTATCAACAACGAAGCAAAGTCACTGACCGGGGTGTAGGAACTATGTGACGCCGACATGCGTCTCCACATCACCAGCCTAAACGAACAGAAGCCTGCATCTCGCAATAAGATGCGTATCACGCGCGAGTATAAGCCTGTTGAGGCCGACATTAACGCATTGGATGCTAAGACTTCAACCACTTCAAGTATTGCCGAGGACGAGGACCACATCGAGAAGTGCTGGGGCGTCACCGTCGAACATTTCCTTCCTACGTCGATGAAGCCCGCCGCCGCCAAGTCCAGCTCGAAAGCATGCGACTCTTCCACACTGGCTGTCCTGAGCATCATGGCCGGCTTCACTCAAGGCCAATCTCGTCTCGCTTTAGAAGTCCTGGAAGAAGCGGTCGCTCTTCGCACCGAAGAGGATCAAGGTGACCACAAGGATCCCGCTTTGCAGAAAGGCGATGTCTTGAACGCTATCACCCTCATCTATGAGAGGGCTGAAGCCATTGAGGCTAAGCTTATCAAGGGCAAGGGTGCGAAAGGAAAGGGAAAGGGGAGGAGGCGGCCCTCGAAGGGCACTCCGAAGAAGCTTGGCGCTATGTCGAGCTTGAGTTGAGGTTCGGTAGACCAGGCGGCGACATGATGACTTCTGAGTTTACATGGAGTTACCTGAAGGAGCAAGGATATACCCGGAGTCTTTTGAAAGTGATGTTGGAGGCAGGAAGTTATACCCAGGCGGATATATGCAGTTTGTATGGTACACATCAACTATGGGGGATACCTATGTAGCTGGATAGTCAGTGTACGGTATACGATTGCAATAGATTCATCAAGTTTGTATTTGCCCACCAAGCACCTCAAGTGTTGATAAGCAGCGAGATCAGGATATGTATGCGTATATCTTCCGACGCTCTTCCCCTCACATCTCCCACAATTCTTTCCACTCACACCACCACAGAATGTCAGAACAACCACCACCACCATCAACTGCGCAGCCAACAAGTGCGCAAGCTACAGAAGAGCGCGTCATCTCTAGTAAGTTCAATTCCAAGGCTATTTTCCCAAGAAAGACGTACCAGTTCTTTAACCAAGCAGGCCAATGGCTTATGGACAAGCTCAAGAAAAAGTCCCGTGAAACCAGAAATGATTGTAAGCAACCCTCCCATCTCACTCCTCCTCTCCCGTTATATGCCTCCAACCCCTCCAACCCATTCCTAACCCACCTCCCAGATCTCCGTATCCTCCGCTTCCACGTCAAAGAAAGCGCCGCAGAAAACAAATTGCAGCAAGCACGCAACACCACAATCTCCGAATTCGTACTACAGAAACTTCAAGGTAAACCTGGAGGCCCGGAACACGATTTCGATGCGGCGAGGGAGTATGAGGTAATGATGAGGTGGAAACTGCTTATTGACCTGGCTGTCAGTGATGCTAAGCATGAAGGGTTGGTGGAGTTGGTGAGGAGGGTTGAGGAGCTCATGAATGAGGATGGAGGAATTTAGATTGAGAAGGCACATGAGCACAATGGGCGCGTGGCTTGCGTACTTCTTGTTCTGGTAGACCGATATAACGAGTAGCAAGCCAGAAAGCCTATTGAATCCACCATGAGGTCGAGTTTGTGTTTGTCTTACAAGCACCTCCAGTACTAACAAATCAGTATCGCGAGTATATATGCGACCACATACACCAGTATTGTGTACATACCAAGATCCTCACTCGATCGGATACACACCTACAAGGCAGCATCCCGGACGCATCGCTCAAGCATCTCCAAACAATTCGATCAACATGGCCGAACAAGAACAGTCACCAGGCTTGCCAATCTATCTGCCCAATGGGCATAAGCTCTCTTGTAACAAAGCCCCCAGAACCCCTGCTTGAAAAAGCCAGCGACTTGCTAACTCAATACCACAAAGCGGTGATGAAATACTTAGATTTCCTCCAGGCCCAATCACGACGTTCTAAAGAAGGATGTACGTAGACCACTCGCCCTGGACTGGCCCCTTCTCTGCAATTTTCACCGACAGATCCTAACACATGCATAGGCCTGGAAAGTCTGAAGAAGTACATTGACAAGAGCTTGAAACAGATGTCTGAGCAGCGTGAACGCGACGACACAGTTATCGATCGCGCTCGAATGGAAGTCGAGGCCATGGAAGAAGGCGAAGAACGCAAGCGCGCAGCGGACCAGCTCGCTTCAAAGATGAGGACAAGGATGTTCGATTCGTTGCTCAAGGCGGCAATGCACAACGGCGTGCAGGAGTTGGTCGAGGCGGTTGAGGGGATTGTGCGGAATCATGTGCCGAATGAGGCCGATAATCTTTACTCGTAGATGGAGATGGTCAGCTAGAAGTGTGGCTTGCGAACGCTTTGTTAAAGGGTACTCGTGTCGTCAGTAGCAACCATCGAGCGTTTTAATTTCCATGTAGACGTCCGGTATTTAATCGCTAAATCCCTCAAATTCATCCGCGGCGTCTTGCGCCTCCTTCTCGGCGACCTTCTTCCGTACCTGATCAATCATACCCTTCACTCTCTCTTCTTCCTTCCGCTCATCTTCTGTCAAAGCCGCAACACGGTCATGTTCGCGCTTCGCAGCCTTCTTCTCTCTCCGCAGCTCCTTGAGCGCCTTCGCATCCTTCTGTTGTGTCCACGCCGACGCCTTCTTGTCCTCCGTGACATATCGCTTCTTGCCTTCTTTCTTCCCTTCCGCCTTGTTAGCTTCGTACTCGCTCTGCTCGACCTGTCGTTGTGCTTCGCGCGTTTTGTCTTTATATGCATATGTGCTGAAATCCATGACTACGCCTAGACTGCGGTCTCCGTCCCACTTCTTCAGTTCCGGCATGCTGGGTAGTTTGAGGAGACCCCAGGCGTTGCCGTGTTCTGTCCAGTCCAGATCGGGGATGCGGAAGATGGAGCTGGCGGTATGTTTGCTGTAGGCGCGGACCCAGGAGACGAAGCCTCGTTGTGCTTTGTCGAATAATGCTCTGTCGGATTTCACTACCTTTCGTATCCGGTTGCTCATGGCTGTGGCTTCTTCTGCGGATACCGTGACTTCAGGTGTTGTTAATGGCGATACCGGGGTTTGTCGAACGCGGAGGAACTCGATGTAGTCTTCTTCTCGGCCTGGACTGAGGAATGTGATGGCTAGGCCTTTACGACCTGCCCGACCTGCCCGCCCGCAGCGATGGATGAATGTTTTCGGGTCGCTTGGTGCATCAAGTTGAAGGACGAGGTCTACTGACGGGATATCGAGGCCACGAGCAGCGACGTCTGTGGTAAGGAGGATGGATGGGGTGACGCTCTCAACGAATTTGATAAAGTTGCGGTTCCTGACTTTGTCCGGGAGTTTGCCGTGCAGGGGCACAATGGTGTATCCTTTCAGAACTTCAGGTAAAATGTGTTGGAAGTAGTCGACTGAGAAACAGGTTGCCAAGTACATGATGGACTTTTGCGGCTGCGGATCCAATGACTTTAAGACTTTCTTGATGGCAGGTAGCTTGTGCGATGCTGGTATGGTCAGATATGTCATCTGCAGGCTTGCTGGCGTTTTCTTGTCTTCGATGGCACCCATTTCTCCTGTCGCACTATTGGGTGCCGCTCGTGCCTTGACCTTGACAGCGATACGAACGGGATTCCGGAGACCCACGCGGATTAGTTGGTCGACAGCCTCGGAAACACTAGCACTAAATAGACCGGTTCGGCGTTGCTTTGGGAGTCGTGAGAGGATCCTTTGTAGGTCATCTTTGAAGCCAAGGTCTAGAAGACGATCGGCTTCATCGAGTACAAGAGCATCGAATGATGACTGTGAGCAATGGACATGTGGTGAAGAAAGGAGTTCGAGTAGTCGTCCCGGTGTGCCGATGAGTACGTTGGTAGATGACTTGAGGAATCTGCTCAGGTCCTGAGCGGGCGTTACTGATCCTCCGAGAAGAAGCTGGGGTATGACCTTCAACGTCCCAGGTGGAAAAGTCGGTTTTGGCGGAGCATCGGCGTCTTCCATGTCGGTATCTTCATCTTCCGGATCCAATAAGGCTGCAGAGGGCGCATGAAATCTGAGAAGCGACGAAAGTACTGTGTGGATCTGGGTTGCAAGTTCTCTGGTAGGTGAGATGATAATGGCACCCACGTGATGCTTCTTTATGGGCGCATCCAGTCGCAACAAGCGCTCGACGATGGGAATGAGATAACTAGGAGCTTGTTAGATGCGCATAAAGACTGTCAATGTACGACCTTACGCTAGAGTCTTTCCACTCCCTGTCACGGCCTCGACGACAACATCAGAGTTCTTCATGAACATGGGGATGGCTGCGTGCTGCACAGGCGTGGTCTTTACGAAGCCCATGGAATCCACAGCTTCGAGAATCCATTCTGACAAGGCAGGCGTTAATGCGCTGAATGAGCGATCTATCTTAGTTTGGGGCGCCATGATGCACTATGATATCGTGAAGATGTCTGCTGGAGTCGCGATGGCTGCACAGAAAAGTCGCGCGAACTTTGAAAATAAAGTGGAGCACTGCACGGCCACCTTGCGCCACACTGTCGTTCACAGGCAGGTACGCTGGAGAGCACGCGGGGTCGTCGTCAGCTGTCACTGCTTCGAGCGCATCTGACAAAAGCTTGATTACTCAAAACATGATGCATCCAGTTCGCGAGCCTGTAATGACATACTGACACGGTGTCTCCTTTCTCGAACCTGATCGCATCGCCAAGACTGATCCGCCGCCACGCTGATCATAGGCGCATTCGCGAGACCGGATCATACATGCGTAGCCGTGAGACCAAATTTCCCAGGCTCATGCAGCAAGATTACCTAGCCGTCACGCACCAACCCATTCCCTGTCCACCCGCCTATAACAAATAAGACGACCGCTGCTGTCGCCTGCACGCACTGTGGCATCTTCTGCCTCCCTAAACGATGCGCGCTGCCCGGACGAATCCGCGGGCCATGAGCCTCTGATCACGCCTGATGCTGACATCAATGTCGAAGCCACCCTAAGTGCCGCCCTCCCACATGTTAGCTGTGACGCGCCAACCCAGCCTCATTACCTTTATTCCCAACCCTCGGATCGCCAGTCCCTGCTGGTAAACATCGCCCTACTCTGTGCCAGGGCCCACTCCACTCTCTCCGGCGTCATCCGGGCTCCTACCTTTCCTTACTTTCCCACCTGCTGGCGCGTAGCCATGGAGTCTTCACGCCAATACCAGATCCCCAACACGCCGCGTGTGATCTCGCCGTCACCAACGCCCTCGGAGGCGGGCAGCACGAAAGATGGCTATTTCGGACCCGTGACGCGCTCCTCGACGCGCAAACAACGGGTTACGTCACCCCCACCTATCGATGAGGACTCAGGATCAGACCCCGACAGCAGGGCTCGAGCAAGGAGCCGGAATGCCAGAAGTCGGAGTCCTACTCTGGATGGAGGCGTGGGACGCCGGAGGATGAGCGGCCTGACAAGCCGTAGGCAAATGAACGGAGGCATGAAGAAGGATCTCGCGCTGCCTGGCAATACTTCAAACGGCCACCTGTCACCCGCGCAAGCAAACAAGAACTACTGGAGGGAGATGAGCAGGAGTCCGAGTCCTCTCGGCTTGATTCCCATCCACCAGAAATGGCGGTCATTCGTGAGTACACACAGGGTGACTTCGCAAGCTCATTACTGACATCGATAGATTCACCGACATGAGATCCCTCGCAAGATCCTGCACGTCTCCATCGGCTTCCTTACCATCTTCCTCTACTGCACCGGCACGCAAACGTCGCAAATACACAATGTCCTCCTTACCATGCTGATACCCATCGCCCTCGCCGACGTCATCCGCCATCGTTACTGGCAAGTAAACCGCTTCTACATCCGCTGCCTCGGTGCCTTCATGCGCGAGTCAGAGGTCGATGGATACAACGGCGTCATCTCCTACCTTCTGGGCGCATGGATAGTCATGCGCTTTTGCCCGAAAGACATAGCAGTCATGAGCATCTTACTACTGAGTTGGTGCGATACTGCTGCTTCGACTTTCGGCAGGCTCTGGGGCCACCTCACTCCCAGAGTCAGGAAGGGCAAGAGTCTTGCGGGTTCCATCGCGGCGTGCGTAACGGGTGTCCTCACGGCGGCTGTATGGTGGGGCTGGCTAGGTCCTCTCTACTCAGAGTACAACCATGGCGAACACGCTTTTGCATTCCAAGGCGCCCTGACGCTTCCTCCACAGGCGCGGGAAACTTTTGCTCTCTCCGTGAAGAAAGCTTCCCTTACCGGATACTGGGCGTTGGGCGCCATGTCTCTGGCCTCTGGTATCATCGCCAGTGCCAGTGAAGCGATCGACGTTTTTGGCTGGGACGACAATCTCACCATTCCCGTGCTTTGCGGAGCCGGGCTATGGGGCTTTCTCCGGATCTTCGGCTAATCAAAGCTCCCTATATGTACGATTTTACGTTTTGGCTCTTCTAGAGTCTTGCTATTTCCAATCTATATCCCCTTTGGATCAAATGATACCCTAGATACGGGTCCTCGGGGAGTGGCATCGCATCTATCATGGTTACGACGGCGTTCTGGGACGTAATGGGAACTGGGCAGACAGAGATGGACGGGTATTGGGCGAGTAGATCGGGACATGAATCGGTATACCTATATAAGCAAATAGTGATCTTCCTTGCAGCCACAGAAGCTACTTTGGTGTGAAGGCGTTGTAGGGCTTATCGAGTTTCAAGCCGAGGTCCAAATTCTCACGTTGCTCATCTACCAAGCACCGAATCCAGCTCTCCCACACGCCTTTAGGGCTGACTATCGGCAAGCACCCGTCCTCAATGCAGAGCAGACGCAAAAGGGAAGGCCTGAATACCCCGAAGGACCCCTGCACAGCGGTATTCGACTTGGCGCATACCGCCACATGGGACGCGGCCATTGGAGCATGCCGCCGACTTGCTTCTTCATATATGATCACGCTCATGCACGCTCACTAACAAGACTCACGGAGACACTCTGACTCTTGCGCATACTCCCATCCACCCAGTAATCCCCTACCCACGACTGCCAGCGAGCCCCCTGCCGATCGCCCGCAGCTTGCCCCGCCACACCCGCCGTTAAGAGCCCTCCACGTCCTGCGCCCGAACGCGCCTCTGGAATCTCCACCTACCCTCTTTCCGCAACAGAACCGGCGCACACAAAACTTCCCTCACGCAAGAACAACTGCATCCGGACCGCTGTAAAACGTGTGCAATCTCTGCGTCGCAGCTATTATAACCGTCTCTTCGGCTGCGTTCCCCCACCCGTTCCCGATCTCTCTGCGCATACCGAGGGTTCATCTTCGAGCGCCACTTTACATACACGTACGCGAAAAGAAGGGTACTATGGCTTCGTCATCTGCGGCAGCGGGGCTGCTGGCTCGTCAACTCAAGCAAATGCAAAACGACAAGAGTATATCGGGCATAAGCTGCGGTCTGGTGGACAACAATGTGTTTGAGTGGGAGGTGATGCTGATGATCGACGACGACACAAAGTTCTACGGAGGTACAGATTCAGGCATGGTCTTTAGAAGTTACAGCTCCAGTACTAACACCAGACAGGAGGTTTCTTCCGCGCGCGCCTCACCTTCCCCAGCGAATACCCGCTCCTCCCACCAAAGATGCGCTTCGAGACACCCATCTTCCACCCTAACAGTACGTCTCGTTCCTCACAGACCCCTCATAACTCGAATCGCATAACTAACACCTTTCAGTCTACCAAAACGGCGAAGTATGCATCTCGATCCTCCACCCACCCGAAGAAGACAAGTACGGCTACGAATCCGCCGCAGAACGCTGGTCGCCCGTGCAAACACCCGAAACGATTCTTCTGTCAGTCATTTCCATGCTGTCGAGCCCGAACGACGAGAGCCCGGCGAATGTGGAGGCGGCGAGCTTGTGGAGGGACAATACACCTGAGTTTAAGAAGAGGGTGAGGAAGTGTGTGAGGGATAGCTTGGAGTTTGAGTGAGGTGGATGATTAGGGTGAGAGGGAGGGAGGCAAGTGTCTTTTGTGATAGCATAAGCGCGGACGGATATTTGGGTAGGCGATTATCTGATTGTGTCATGGCTTGCATGGTGGTGTTTTTGACTGTTCTCAGGGAGGCTTGAATGCATATGATAAGTTCTTCTGTGAGTTCGTTGATGGTATTGGTGTCATCAGATCGTAGCAAGAGTCGGAATCTGTTCTGGTGCTTCATGGTAGGCTTTGCGGACTCTGTGATGAGCAAGTGGTTTTTAGACTCATCGAAATGGGAATCGCATGATGGAGAGTCATACTTTGACTGGCGGCAGACTCTTAGTAAGTAAACAGGGTCTCAAAGCGAATTCACGAGATGAGGCACAAGATGTAGCTTAGGAAAACAGATTTCTCATTGTATCATACACACCTCTTCTTCCTACCAATCCTCCATCTCCAAATATATCTACAAATAAACTGTCACACCTAAAGGAGTGGTAGGCAGCGACAACAAGAACGGTAAACCCCCTTATGCTACATCTCAGCGATGTCTCGACCGCCCATACACATACACATCCACATCTCCAGATGATTCACTGCTTCAGCAGCGAACCCAGCATGCCGAATTGCCCCTTAGTCATGGACGTATCCAATGTCTCTGAGGCTGTGAACAGCTTAAGCAGCAGTGCAAAGCAACCCATCAGCACCAAGCGGCACAATGCAGCACTGAGCCGTCGTGCCGTCCTCAGCGCAAGCAGCCTGGAAGTCCTCTGTTGTTTCGATACCGGCGCCAGCTGTTATACACATTAGCACTCATTCTCCTCACTTCAATGGACTGAATGTTCTAACGTACCGTTCGCGCAGTTCAAGTTGGCAACACCAAGAACATCAGTCTGGCAGCACAATGGCGTGGCGAGGCCACCGCAGATCTCGCTCTGGCGAGCCTGGACGGAAGTGGCAGGGTAGGGGAAACGCTTGGTGACTGCGGCGGCGGAGGTGAGGCTCAGGAGAGCGGTGAGGGTGAAGATGGTGAACTGCATTTTGGTGGTTTGGTGGGTTGGGTGGGTTGGTTTGGTTGCGAAAGTGTGGAGGTGTTGGAGATGATGAGATGAGAACTGTTGTGATGATGAGTCTGTTCTGGAGGGAGAAGCCTTGTGCTTATATATCCCTGGTGAACGAGATGGCGGAGATAATTCCTTTGCCTCTGATGCCAGTCTTTGCCTTGCCCCCTTGTGCTACACTGCCTACACTACTCTCGTACGATACTCGATCTTGCTCGATCACATCCCATCCTCCCACGTCCAAGACTTCGACACGTCGATCAATATCCCCAATCCCCTCCTCCCCATTTCCTTTTCGTCATCGAAATCCCACAGACTATCCAATGCTCGCCGACCACAATCGTCTCCCTCACTACAATTTCAAGATTACCGACTATCAGCCACCACAACGATCGACATGAGGCTTAGATACCCAGTGACGATCTCTGGCCGCCAAGTACGCCCAATCCACCTCCCCGTGCGCCACGTCGTCTACATGCAGATACGTCACGCCGTTTTAGGTTGTAGTTTCCCCTCTGTTTGGTCACCTACCCTGCGTTGCCGTGCAGAAAAGGCAACGACACATGTGGGGACCTGATGAACGGCAGGGTAGTGCTCTAGCGGTTACTGATTAGTGTTTTACTGGTAACAGGGAGCTAGGCATCAAGTGGTATGTAGATCTGATAAGCTCCTGCTTTGGACGTATGCCGAGCATAAGCAATGCTTGTGGGAGGATTTGGGCCGTCGGCGAGAACTACAAGAGTAATCTAGGTTCCTGGATATGTTTGGTAGTGATTAGGGGTAGTGTTATCGGAGGGTTGTTTGTTTGGTTCTGTTCCGCATGATCGCTGGAAAGAAAACTGTGCGGTGGAGTTGTAGGTACTAAAGGGTCTTGTGTGTGAGATTCGGTGGTTGAGGTCATGGCAGAGATGGCCAGGTGGTGATCTCCTTCGATACCTTCACAGTTTGAAACGGTACCTGCATACTCAGCCCCAGAAACACCCACAACCTGACAGACAGATTTGGCATGCCTGTCATCCACATTAGCCACGTTATCTCCCACATCTTCCAATCTCTGTGACAAGCGAGCAACGATCCACGATCCATTCACTTCGGCGATCCTCCCCGCTCACCAATACCAGCACTAACACTTTCAATCATTTCATCGACACCATCGATATCAATCCCAGAATTCCGTAACAACAATAACACCTCCACTCCTCCATCCGCCCTATCTCTCCATCCTCCCCGTACCCACCGTATCGCGTCACCAGCCCCCACACGCTACCACGGCTTGGCGCGGCTGCAGCGTCGATCATGACGGCAGATAGCTACAAGCCTTCCGCCCTGAGCCTATCTCGCTCGGGTGCCCGGGTGCAGTACGTACCGTATGCTACACTTATCTCTGAGATCCAGGGACCGAAAGAAGAAATTACTGTAGTCGCTATTCTGAGAACCGAGGGACGATCACCACCCACACGCACATGGAAGGGGATGTTGGCTCGGCAGCGTGTCAAATGGAACAAGGGATGGGGGACATCACGAGGGAAGTGAAGGAATGTGGAAATGTCGATTATCTCATCTTATCTCATCTCTTCATCTGCCCCAATAGAAAGATAAAAGAAGAAGAAAGCACACGGCCAGCATATACCCTCTTCTTCTTTTCTTCCATCTCTTACACACGATAATTACCATCTCTCTTTCTACATACATGTACATCTCTCTATCTCTCCCACATCATCAAATCGTCAAGGGAAATCGGGGTGGTGGGAATAACGAAAAAAGAACAACAACGGCGTATTTACAGGTAAACATCCTAGGGTATCAGGCGCCAAAACATCCCGCATCCGTAACAAAATCAAAGAAGCCAAATAGATCAAAAGAGCGCCAGATTGTGAGCCAATCCATAAACGTCGAAGCGAGTGGTGTGTATGTTTATCAATGTCGTCGTTTCCTTCCTCCAGTCTTATATGTCGTCCCATGGGAAGTCTTGCGGATCGATTCTTGTGCATGTCAAATAGGGCAGTCCGCCTTCTCGTAGGTCGAGCTCGAGGAAATTGCGCATCAGCGGCTTGACTGCATCTTTGGCCTTGACCTTGATTTCTTCAATCCTGCGTTCGAAGCGCTTCAAGTTGTCGCGGTTGTAGTGGTCGGGGTTCAGTCGCAGGAAGCGCTTGCATTCGTCGTGGTTGAGGTAACTTGAGCCGGCCTGGCCGAGCAGGCGGAATATGCGGCCGGTGTTGAAGACTGGTGGAGGTGGCAGCGGCGCACCATCTCGCGAGTTCTGGGGACGTGGCGATTTAAGGATCGGGGCTGGGGGTGGCGTCGTGTTTTCGGCGAGCCATTGTCGGAATAGCGAGACTGCTATCCAGTCCAGCCAGTTGCTCGATGGGCTGACACGCTCGCCGCGACTGGTTGTGAGGGATAAGCGGAAGAGCTTGACTTCGATCTTGGCCTTGAGTTCGTCCATCTCGTCGACTTTGTCCTCTATCAGTTCGATAACGGGCTCAGCGATCTGGCCGCGTAGCTGATTGATGCCTTGTGGCCATTGTCCGACAACGTGCACCATAGCTTCGGCAAAGATGGCTTTACTCCGTGCCATGTAGCCAAGTTTGAGGTAGCTGGGCGGGTATTTCGCGATCTGCTTCCATAACCGGCCTTGGAAGCGCAGCAGATGATGGTCGACGCGTGGTCCGATGACGCCAAGCGCGTCGTACATGTCGGCGAGCTGCAGGAGCGATTTGCACTCTACGTAGGCGTTTGCGATATTGAGAGAGTCGAGCGTGGGAGGGTAGTTGTAGAAGATGCGGAACAGGTTGTCATAGTCTCGGAAGGTGTCGTCGTCGGGGTCGGTCTCGGGGGTGGCTGTCGCGGGCACGTGGAGGGTGGAGAAGTTGGCCATGCTCCTGAAGAAGCCTGCCTGCGGTGCGGCAGGCTTGTTGCGCGCAGTAGGCGGTTGCACAGGTGGACTCGGATCACCGCCAAACATGGTCGGTTGGTTCTTCTGTGTTCTCGTTAGCATGGTCGAGGTCGCGGACGGTAAACAAACGCACCTTCTGCACGAGCATGGGCAGGTCGTCATCGCCGCTGCCCCAATCCATCTCGTACCTCCATTTCCGCTTCTGCTCGGGTCGTGATCCTGATGGTATCCTCGACAAGGCGGTGCCGTTGCTGGGCCCGGCGTTGGTCACGTCGCCAGCAGTCGCCCACTCATCGCTCGTGCCAGCCTCGAAGAAGCCCGAGCACTGCGTCAGAATCAACTTGTGCAGCAGATAACGCATTTCCTTCCGCCCATTGCTGATGACGATTTCGACGTCGCCGGTATGCGTGAACACGGGGAACTCATTTTGGGGTGCTAGCGACGAGCTACCCACATTGGAGCGGTGCTGGCGATGTCTGCGGACGGTGGATGCGCGCGACGAGTGCGACACAACCGACGAGGGACGCCGTATGGGCAGTGAGCGCTCTGCACTCGCCGAGTCTGGGTAGGAAACCATGCGCCGCGACGTTTGCTATCTCGCTGTCCAGGGTTGGTGTTGAGGTGCTCGGGGTGGCCGAAGGAGTGGTTTGCGACAATGATGCGTTCCAACAATATTGCGACGGGTCGTGGATGGCTGGAGGTGGGTGACACTGGTCGGGCGGGGCAGGCGTGGCGACAGCAACAAAGCTGCGTAGTGCGGTGGTTGCACGCAGCGGTGCAGCTCGCGGTGCAGGCAGGCTGGTGGTGGGCGGCCGGGTTGTTGATGCTGGCGAGCGCTGGAGGCTGGTGCGTAGGCCGTAGACGAGAATGGCCCGCTAACCACCCCACCTCGAATGCGATGGCGCCAAAGGTGGACCTTGGCCCAGAACCGGTTCAGCGCGACAGGGTAGACTCTGCTGCTTTGCGACGCATGTGCAGTGTTGAGAAATGTTTCAGGAGCCGTGCAGCACCAGACAGCAGTGGCTGTGGCGGCTGTTCACATGGCCGCTATCCAGTATGCACCTGGTCTCATGCACCCTGCCACTCAGCTCGAACAGGTTGGAGGCTGTGCGCCAATCGCCGGCCATAACCGGGCCAAGCGCAGTCAGCCTCGATGGCGGCCAGCTGGGATGTCGCGGCCAAAACAGGGGAGTGCAAGCATCTGACGGTCCGAAACTTTGAAAGTTGATGCAGGGGGCGACCAGCGTGGTTTTGTAGACGGATGTGGCCAAAGACGTATGCTTGCCTGCATGTTTCTTGTGTGGTGTCGCGCATCTAGTTGCGGCACCAGTAACACCCAACCACCTGACATCATAGTCTAGATACATGATACATATCATACAGTACTTCTTCACACCATCAGCGACGCTCCGCTTGTATCTTTTCTTGCCCACCCATGAACGGTCGCAGCACCTCTGGTATTGTTACCGTGCTGTCCTGTTCGTTCCAGTGGTTCTCCAAAATCGCCGCGAGCACTCTGGGCACAGCAAGTGCTGTTCCGTTGAGCGTGTACGGGAAATCCAGTTTGCCTCCCTTTACGCGCATGCGAGTCTGTAGTCGTCGGCTCTGGTAGTCGATGCACATGGAGGACGATGTCACCTCGCCCCATCCTTCGTCCTTCTCACGAGATGGGAAGAATGCTTCAATGTCGATTTTCCGCGTCGCGCTGGCACCGAGGTCGGTTGTGGGCATTTCCAGGATGCGGCAGTGCAGCCCGAGCGCTTCTAGTATCTCCTTTTGGATCGATAGCATCTCGTCAAAGATTGACTCTGAGCTCGGTGCCGTTGGAGCGGTAAAGTGATCTTCTCCCATGTTGTCGGGTGTTGTCCAGGCAAACATCTCGACCTTAGTGAACTCGTGAACACGGTACAAGCCTTTTGTGTCGGCTCCTCTTGCGCCAGCTTCAGCACGGTAGCACCTGCTCACGCCGACTGCCTTGAGTGGCAGATCCGCTTCTTCTAGAGTCTGATTGGCTTTCATACCAGCAAGCGGTATCTCTGCAGTTCCAGCAAGAGCGAGTTGCGGCTTCGCCTTGTCCTTCTCCGACTGCTCGATAGCATATATTTGTTGCTCTCCGTTTTGATCCCGCGGCTGAAATCCGCATGCAGATGCAATGTGCGAGTACACTAGGGACGGAGGTGCGACTGCTTTCCATCCTTTCCTCCTAGCAACACCTAGGGCGTACTGCACGAGTGCCTGTTCCAGCATTGCACCGTCTCCGACCAGAAAGTACCAGCCCCAGCCCGAAGTCTGTGCTGAGCCCGAGAAGTCAAGTATCCCCAATTCCTGCCCAATGTCGACGTGCGACTTGCGATCTTGCGATTTCAAGGGCTCGTTAATGTAGCCAAGTACATCTGCTTCGGTGCCGACGGGTGTGCGTGTGCTACTCAAGTTGGGCAGATCCTGCGCCAGGCCTTCTATCTCTTCTTGGATCTCGGATTCTTGTGCCTCAATAGAGCTCAACTCCGCCTTCAATGCCTTTGCATCGCTAATCAATCCCTCTCTCAAGGCCACTGGCTTGCCGTCGGCGTCCTTGGCGCGCGATGCTGTCCTAGCTAGAGTGGCTCGTATGCGATTGTTGCGTTCTCGTAGGTCGCGACTGCTTTGCTGTAGCGCGAGCCATTGCTCGTGCAGCTCTATGATTCGCCATGACGATTTGCTGTGTGCGGCATAGTTGCGGTCTACGCAGTTCTGCTCATATAGTCCTGGGTTCTGCCGGATGTGTTTGATGTCGATGGTGGGTTTCGGTGCGAATGCGGGTCGTGTGTATGCGCGGCGTGGTATCGAATTTGTTCGGCATGACGTTAAGTTGCTGCAGAATATTTGCCTCTGACATGTTGCATTGGCGCGGAAAGATGGTCGGACAGCTTTCATGGTTGTAACATGAGAACTGCAGTCGAATCTCTTGCTGTGTCCCGCTTTCGCGCCTTCCTAGCTTTTGAGCATCCTTGATCCCTGCACGCGGCCGTCGCGTAAGTCGCGTCACGAAACCTCCCCGCATTCTCTCACTCCGCCTCACAAGGGTGTACTATTCGTAGGATGTGTCTGTTGAGGATCAACCAGACGAGTATGATGGCAACTCTGTGCGGTAATTCAACAACTCCTGAGGACAGAATGTCTATTCGCCTGTCCTCCCACCTTGACCCGCTCACGACCACGGTTCCGCGGTGACCCTTCAAAGCCCCAGCGAGACACTCGCAAGTACTCGTCATACATCCTCATGTTCATGTTGGGTCAGGGCTTCAGCTACGAGTGCAAAAAGCCGCCTGAAAGACTCATGTGAATCATGAGTCCTCCTCGCCTCTCTCTCTCTCTTACAACTTATTCACCATGACTTCCAATCCCGACAAACGCCCATTTGACCCAGCATGCGACCCCCAGGCTGACGCGGAAAACTCCAACCTCTCCTTCGAAGATGGCTTCATTGCGGGAACTGAGAGAAGACGCAAAATAAGTACGAGTCGGGGCCAAGGACCGTCCGGGACTGTACCATTCCCGCGGCAAGACTTCATTCCATATCCATTACCAGGGTTGAAAGCACATGCCACGCAAACGCCAAACCTTCAGTACATGCCATTCTACTGTTGTCCCATCTGCAGAGGGAAGCGTGAGGCGCATGCCCACGTGCGTAAGCTTTTTCTAGTCGCCGAGCGACTTATGTGGGAGGAAGGACTGGTGTCGATGAGTGAGAAGCATCGCAACGCATACTTCAATAAGCAGGTCAACGACGAACTCGGCGTTCCAAATCCCACTGTCAGTTGTCAAGACTATTTCCCTGGTGGGAGGTATAGCCAGACCAATAGACACTATCCTTTCCACAACGAGCACGAGATGGGGTTCGCTTTTAACGTCATACACACACATGACAACTTGACAGAAGCTGTGTGGTCAATGTGGATCGGTACAAAGTTGGATACCGAAAAGAGGCTGGCGGAAGACAGAGCAGCAGGTACTCTTCTGTCCGGAGGGAATACAGGAGGATGGACAGGACCGACCAACATGGCACCACATGAGCATGCGTCTGCTCAGATGGACTATCTCTCCGGGCTACCCACGCCGCCAGTATCCTCCATGGAAGAGGCTAGACGTATGAATACCCTCTTCAACTCACCTGTAACGACCGCACAACAGAGCCAGTTCACCGCCCACCCAGCAAATTTACTCAGTCACAGCAATCGGATCATGAGCTATAGGAGCTTGCAAGATTTCTACTTCCTTCTCGACAGGATTGAGAGAACCTCGTACGTCGCAGAGATGTTCCTCGTTGCATACGCTGCGAGGTTGAGGGGGGACAAATGCTTGAACTGCTGGCACAATCAGAACGTCGGATTTGATGGGCTTTGAGCGCGGCGTCTTTATCATCATATTATTGCTTTGAAGATACCCACTACCACCTCCACAAAGAAAACTCTGGTCAGCTGCACTGCAGTCTACTTTATTTCAAAACCAAAGTTAGCCAAGTCAATGAAAACCTCCGAGCCATTTACTTCTAATAGGTGTTCAACTTCTTTCTTGTATGCGGTGATGCGGCGTCGGAAGAGGGTGAGATTTGTCACAGCATGACGCCTCTAGTGGCGGTGCACTGTACCTAAACACAGAAAACAGCATCCAACATGACGTGGTCCCGTGGCAGTGATTTAGCATTCCACAAAAATGACCCGGTGGACATGAAATCTGTCGTGTGCCTCTGGCGCAGGGCGATGGGTCCTCGGCTCGCTAATCGCATCTCGGCCTAGAACAAGGGACTGCACCGAGCTTGGTCGTCATCCGCACCTTTTGCCAGGCATCCTCGAGCGGCGTGCATCATTGTGCCGCCGCGGCCTTGGATCTTCGTATCTACCCGAGTATAAAAACGCTCTTGCTCTGCCTTCCTGCCGAACGCCCCTCCGCTGCTTCCCTGCCTAAGAAGGGACCATCGCTCCTGCTCGCGTGCAACCCTTACCGCCCTGACATCACTCTCGCACCTCCACCTCCACCTACCTCCGCGTCTACTGCACCCCACTCGACTGCCACGATGCACGACCCGTTCCCTTTCGCGCCGCCGGAGAGCCTAGTCAAATATATACAGCCCGTCGCCGACTTCCTCAATATGAAGTCGCTGCCGCTGCACTTCCACGAAGTCGCGGCAGCCTTCACCTTCTACCAGATCATCTTCAGCTACGGCGCCCCCGCCATCTCACGCTTCTTCTTCCCGCGGATATACGCCAACTTCACCGCGCGAACTAAGCTGAACTGGGATGTGCATATCGTGTCATTTGTGCAGAGCACGCTGGTCTGCGGTTTGGCGTTGTGGGTCATGTGGACGGACAAGGAGCTGAATCAGATGGACCCGACAGAGCGCGTGCATGGATATACTGGAGCGTCTGGCTTGGTTCAAGCTATGGCAGGAGGCTACTTCCTGTGGGACTTGGTCATCACGGTGCAGAATGTCAAGGCCTTCGGTACTGGCATGCTGTTCCATGCCATCTGTGCCCTCTGCGTATTCTCGCTGGGTTTCGTAAGTAGACCACGGTGCTTTCCAGAGCATATGGGAGCTATTCAGAGTACTGATCGTGTGACAGCGTCCCTTCGTGAACTACTACGCGTGCACATTTATCCTCTACGAACTCTCCTCGCCCTTCCTGAACATCCACTGGTTCTGCGATAAGCTCAACATGACCGGCACCACCATCCAGCTCGTCAACGGCATAATCCTGCTATGTACCTTCTTCTCCTGTCGCATCGTGTGGGGATCCTACAACTCCATCCGCGTCTTCACCGACGTCTACCACGCCTACGCCGCCGGCGCATACACGCACTCAGACCCAGACGTTGGAAAGCTATCGCAAAACACCACCCTCCATAACGCCGGCTTCAAACACGACATCCTCCGATTCGCCGAAGGCCAAACCGTTCCCCTCTGGCTCATAACTGCCTACCTCGCCTCTAACATCATCCTCAACGGCCTGAACTGGTTTTGGTTCGGCAAGATGATCGAAACGCTACGCAAACGCTTCGATCCTCCTTTCGGCACAAAGACACAAGGTCCCGAGATTAAGGAAACTACACTGGAAATACCGGATGATGAGAAGGTTCTCGTTGAGGGTATTCACGTCTCTACTCCTGGTGCGGTCGAGCGGGATGCCAAGGATTATATTGAAGTCACTGATCGGGCGGCTGTGTCGCTCGAGAAGAGCAGTGCGGGCACGCATTTGGAGGTTGGGCAGACTAAGGTTAGGAGTCGGAATGCGGGACAGAGAGGGGGATTGAGGGCTGCACAGGCGGCTTAGGGGGATGAAGATTAGGAATGAGATGGGTGGGTTTGGAGTGTAAGTAACATGTAAGGCACCATCTACCAAATCTACATATTACCAGATTTCTTTACAGCAAGGAAATTAGCTACTATCAGAGCTGTCATCATGTTCTTCACTCGCCTCCCCAACATCTGCCCATGCATCCTCCGGCATAACCTCTTTAATCTTGTCCATCAGCGCACATAAGCCGCTAATCTTTCTACCCTTCTCCGCATTCGCATAAATAGATCTGTCCTGCTCAAGGTGCCAACGTTCCTCAGCGCGCTCCAGCCGCTTCCGCGCTTCCACGACCAATTTCCTCTCAGTCTCGATCTCAGCCTCAACTCTTGCTCGCACAGTGAAATTGAGGCCTTGGGGTTCTGGTTGTTCTCCTAAAATCTTCATGCTGGCGCGGATCTGATTGTAGATAATCTTATTACCTACGTAAACGTTAGACTGTTCAGATGGTGTGAGACAATGGGAGGGAAGAGGGTACGCACATTCTCGTTGGTCTTCGCGTGATAGTTGAGGGAGTTTGGATAGAAACCATTCTGCTGTTTTGCCAAGGGTTATCAGCTAGAGGTCTTTCAAGCGACAGCTGCAGTTTTGCGATAGGGAGACGGGGTGCTTACTGGGTATCTCGAAAGTTTCGGGAAGGGTGTCTTGGGGGGCGTCGGACATTTTAGTGAGCTTTTCTGCTGATCAATTTCCTATGACAGACTGAGGAAAAGTGAACGCTAGTGTAGTAGGTGTGCAATAGCCAAGTCAGAGGAGAATTGCAGTTCTGAAATGTTGCGGGCGAGAGAGGGTAGCATTATTCATACATGTAATACTTGTGGTTTGCTATATAACCCGTCGATTGGTGACATGACTGGTAGGTCGACAAACCGCAAGCCCGCTGGATCCTCTCACTCTACGTTTTTCCGCCACAACGCTTGGTTAACCTTGCTCAGCAACTCCACCAAGCCTTCGTGCTTGGTATCATGTACTACCTTCTCGAGCTCGATCGATCGTCTCTCTTCCTCTAATTGCTCCTTCGCACGCTTTAGCTGCTCTTCCAAAGCTTCGACACGATCCTTTCCCTGTTTGATGTAATCGGCGGATTTGTCAGTGATTAGTTTTCTCTCGACAATGCTGTCTTGGATGTAGGAGCTCAGGGTGCGCTCATCTGTATGCGTATTAGAGGATTCGAGCTCCACTGGTAGCTATGATGTGGACCGTATGAGATGGTAAAGTAAAGCGATCAATAGCTAGATACGGGTAGGTAGAAGAATGAATAGGGTGAGAAAGAAGAAGGGGAGCTAGGCACGTACAGGCATTCAGATCTTTGAGAAACATGTTGGGGAGAGTGGAAGTGAACCATAAGCCTGTTGTTTTTTGTTCGTTAGTCTGCTGTTTTGTTCTCGGAAAAGGACGTTGCGGTAGCACTCACTGGATACGCTTGGACGAACGGGTCGGTTTAGGGGCTCTGCATCTGTGATCATGGTTGGCGCTTTTCGCAAGTCGTTGGCGCTTCTCGCATGCCGCATCTTAGATACAGAGGTCAGATGTGAGTTCATGACTGAGGGAGAGCTGACTGGCAGAAGAGTGATAGAGATTCTGAGCCAAGGAATATTGCACTGCCGGAATATATGTGATGGCACTGCTTGCTATCTACTACGTCGGTCAATCAAGACAAACGGTATGCAAACCTCACATTCATTGTACACTTGGAAAGCTTGTAGTAACCGCCATATCAACGTAGATGTACCTTGTACCAGCTCTGATGTATCCCTAGTTACTGCGCACATGGACAGCAAATAATTGACCCTCGAGAGCTGTGCAAAAAGACGTGGGATGGGCTGGTGAATCGAATGTAGCAAAAAAAGATTAATGTCAGAATCTAGAATCGAACTCGGCAACAAAAAGAACATTCTTGGTCGGTGCTATCAACACTGCGTATTGGGTATATCAAACCCGTCGTCATCTCTCAAGCTGCGATCTCATCGGAACTGCGTATTGGGTATCTCAAACCCGTCGTCATTCCCATTTGACCACCCGGAATGTTCTTTACGAAAAGTGATAACATTAGAGCCATTATATAGTCAATACAAATCGTCTGTGGGGGGCAACGGTGGATCAGTCGCTAGATCTATGAACCCTGAGCGTAGTGAAGGCAAGGCGGTGGAAGAGCGCTCGCGAGGCAGCAGTGACGCACTGTCGCACAATGCAAACGCTCACCTTCACTTTCGACCTGAAGAAACTTCTAGGGCGACGAGTCTCTCGTCGCTCATCCACCCGCTCTTTATCTCTCCTCACGATCTCGCGTCTCTTGACCCATCCATCTCCTTGCGCTGCCCTGAGTACACAACAACGTCAACGCTACCATGGCGCACAAAATAACTCTTCACTGCCCGTCCATCGACAAGACCAAGAGCGACTTCGTTCTTGGACCTTTCGATAAACATGACAAGGTCCTCCAGCAAGTACGCGCGGTCTTCAAGATCGACTTCGCCGCCGTCTACGACATCCGCGCTCAACCGATCGACGACATCTGCGCCTGCGAACCGGGACAGATTGTACAAGTCGCCGCGTCAAAGGACGAGATCATGAAGTACTACAAACCCAAGGTCTGCATCTTCTACGACGGTGAAGAAGACGTGTCCAATGAGTTGGTCGACGGTTACGGCTTGCCATGGAAGGTAAGTGATGTCTATTGAAGCGCATTCACCGAAACCTAACCAAACAAATAGGATCTCAACGACTATCAGAGGTGCTCGCACGTCATGAGCCTCGGCAAAGGCCCAGGAGGTTTCGTCTTGGACAACACCACCCGGATCACGCGCCCGTACGCCGACGTTCAAAAGGACCTGAAGGAAGTCGCCGGTGCTGCTCCGGACGATATGGAAAGCAAGCGCAACCTTGGGATTGCGATCTTTTTGAACTGGGCTTGGAAATGGGAGATGGTTAGTGAAATCCTTGTCCGAACTGAACTGAGACTCATACTGACTTATCTATAGCTCCTACCCGCTTCTATGAAGCCGGCCAAAGATACCGACATGTCGTCCAAGGTTCTCGGCCTCTTAGTCGTCCTTTCCTCTTTCACTCACGGTTCCGCGAGCCTAGTACGCGGCTATCTCGTCGAAACCGTCAAGGCCCGTGTCTCTGGCGCCGAAGATGACGAGACGAAAGACCCACTCCTCCGCGCTCAAGACGTCGTGCACGTGATCAGCACACTGTATGAGAAGGCGGGCAGCCTAGCTGCGAAGATCGCACTAGCCAAGGAGAAGGCGATGAAGGACAAGATGAAAGAGAAAGCGCGGAAGACGGCCTGGAAGGCGAAGCAGAAGACGGGAGGAAAGGTCAAAGAGCCATCTGACGTCGACGATCTTGCCGAGCAGCTGGGTGGCCCTCAGAACTACATCGATCTTACTTAGAAGGATCAGCGAGGTGGTGGACTAGCTAGATGCCTACGTACCTGATAGATAGCGAGAAATGAAGTATCCCAAAGCTGATGAAGGCATATCAGTGATCAATGGCAGCCAAGATTACGTCTACCGAAGTCTATGTAGACATTATAGTGAAGCATGCTAATAACGGTTGAATTTTCTCAATTCAATGTAGTCACATCAGCGTCTCGAACTTTCAGGACTCGTGAGTCGTCTAATACCGCAACCACTGAAAATCATCATGCGCAAGTACTAAGTTGTGTCCTTCTCCCCATATCTCTCCTTCCGTCGCAAACCGCAGAGAACCAATCTGTATCAGCGGAAACAGTCGGTCACAATTGTTTGCGTCAAATGCTTTGAAGTTATTCGACGTAATCTGGAGAGTGTTGCGCATAGTGTTGTGCAACTTGCGCGCTTCGGCTTGGTCGACACGAAGCCGCCGCGAAAGGGTGATTGGATTGTGGCCGTTACCCCCAAGCGCTACCACCTTCGTGGGTGTACGCAGGTTTAATATCATACGTTCGGTGTACAATACACTGAAATGAGGGTTGCCTTGGAATAAGAGATTCGCCAGCGTCTTCAGGAAGATAGCAATGTAATCGAAGAGCTGTTTGGCAAAACAAGTCGGCGAGTGCTCCAACAAATGAGCCAGCTCATGCTCATGAGGAACAAAAGATTCGCGCGGCCCGTCTCGGAGGGGCTCTCTCGTGCGCAAGTCGACGTTGATAAGAAGTTGGTTGATAGTAGGCGAAAGCGCCGCAAATTGGACCCAGCTCAACGAGAAGTACGGCCGGCCATGTGAGAAGGTAATGTCGAATTCGTAGTTTAGGCGTTTCGCAGCGACCAGGTGTTGGATTGCTTGCTTGAACTCTCCATGCGTCTGGCGACACACGCGCAGCAGTCCGCGATAACACCGAAGCGGTAAGTCGTTCCTCACGTAATGCTCTGACACCACCATAACCCCGCGGAAAGAACGACCCAGCTCTTCGTTGAGCAACACCTCGTAGACATGATTTCGGAGTTCAAGTGGAAGATCCAAAAAGCCGGGCATAATGTTGGTGACCAAAAGTGCGAATGCGCCTGTCGAAGATCAGGGTCCAGCGGCAGGCACACGGATGTTCGGAAGCGAGACCGAAGGATTATTGAGTATGGTTCAGGCCTGCACTCGCTGCTTGCGGGACCAGAGAATGGGGATGCGGGGGTGACGACTGGAAGCTGACGTGATCAAGGGAAGTTTGCGGAGAAGATTGAAGTGAGGTTCAGCCTTTTCGACGAGGTTCAGTGTTGTGAAACTGATCGGTCCGTGCTACCCACGTGATTGGATCTGGGCTCTGGGATTTGCGAGCGGGCAATGGCGGCGCGGCAACTGCATCGTCATCGCTAAAGTGGTGTCTTATCCAAGATGGCATTTCCAGCCGGCCTGACTGCTATGCACACACGGACAGCGCATCGCATAGATGGACGACTACGAACTGGATCGCGTCGCGTCGGATAATCCTGCTCTGACTGCGCCTGCGGCCCAGCGGGCTCCCATACGACGGCTGAAGTCTCAGGGCCCGACGTCGACGTCAGCTACTCAATCTACCGGTTCCAATACTACGGTCGCATCGGGGGATTTGACGAAATACGATGTACGTGTCAAATACATGGCTTGGAGATTTACTCTAAACAAACGTAGGTGGGCTGGCGCAGATTTGTGAGGAACTTTTCGCCGTCATGGTTCTCCGTGACCATGGGCACGGGAGTAGTATCTCTACTTCTCGCCGCTATACCGTTCAAAGCAGACTGGCTGTACTGGCTTGCGGTTATTTTCTTTGGACTCAACACTATCCTGTTCGCCTGCGCCTTCTCCGTCTCCGTCTTCCGATATGTGGTATACCCTGAAATATGGACCGTCATGATCGCGGACAGTGTCAACTCACTTTTCCTTGGAACCATTCCGATGGGATTCGCTACCCTCATCTCAGCTTGGTGCTCAATATGCATCCCATATTGGGGGCCCTGGGCCGTTACCTTTGCCTGGGTCTGCTGGATGATCGATTCCGTAGTCGCTGTCTCAGTCACGATATCGCTCACGATCCTACTGATCTCCGCCTCTGATCGTCAGGCTTTGGATCGCATTACAGCAGCTCAGCTATTACCTATCGCTGCATCCATTGTCGCGGCTGGTACCGGTGCCAGAGTCGCAGAGCATTTGACCAACCCGCAACATGCTCTCGGAACGATCCTTGCTTCGTACATTATGTGGGGTATGTCTACACCACTAGCGATGACGGTTCTAGTCATGTACTACACACGCCTGGCTTTGCACAAGCTACCACCACGAGAGATTGTTGTGTCATCCTTCTTGCCACTAGGTCCCTTAGGCATGGGCGGTTATTCCATAACCTATCTTGGTTTGGTTAGCAGACGGGTCTTTCCAGAGACGGATTTCTTCTCAGATATTCCCATGGCAGGCGACATCTTCTTCGTCTTCGGGGTCTTTCTGGCGCTCATCATGTGGGCGTTTGGGCTGACATGGCTCTGTTTCGCACTGGCATCCATCTACAAGTCTCGGCCTTTTCCGTTCAACATGGGCTGGTGGGGTTTCACGTTTCCCCTCGGAGTCATGGCGCTTAGTACGATGGAGCTTGGCAACATCTTTCCAAGTCTGTTCTTCAGAGTTCTAGGGACGATCTTCGCCGTAGCCGTCATTCTGCTGTGGTGCGTAGTAGCTGTTGGCACAGCGCGCGGTGCATGGAGCGGTCGTCTGTTCAATGCGCCGTGCCTCAAGAACTTACCGAAGAGAGATTCTACGGGGAAAGATGAAGCAGAGAAAGAGAAAGGGCTAGTGCAGACATGATCCTGGGTCACTATCATCGACACAAGAGGTGCGTGTATGAAAGAATATTTGAAATGTCATAAATTGCGTTGCGTCTGATCATAAGAGTATATATGTTGTGCAGCCCATTGGAGCGAAGCATCAAGCCTCTTGCTGTTCGTTATACAGCTACATGATCTCCATCACACGCCGATAGACTACCTCGAAGGACAGGTCTAGTTGCCAGCGCCTGCAG